CTGACTGTCCCCACTGGGGGAAGGATGGCCTCTTTAATAAATGGTGTTGGAAAAATTGGATCTCAACCTGCCAAAGATTAAAACTAGACCCTTATCTTTCACCATGCATTAAATTAAAATCCAAGTGGATTAAAGATATAAATATTAAAATAGAAACACTACACTTGCTGGAAGATAAGTTAGGCAGAACTCTGGACGACATTGGTATAGGAAAAGACTTTATGAACAAATCAGTAGCACGGGAACTAGCAGAAAGAATCAGCAACTGGGATCTCATCTTATTGAAAAGCCCCTGCACTGCAAAGGAAACCATCAACAGAACTAAGAGACAACCTACAATGTGGGAAAAAATTTTTACCAGCTGCTCCTCAGACAAAGGACTACTATCTAGAATATATAAAGAACTCAAAACAGTCAGCCCCCCCCAAATATAAAGACCCATTTCAAAAATGGGCATCTGAAATGAACAGACATTTCTCAGACAAAGAAGTAAAAGCAGAAAGCAAATATATTAAAAAATGTTCCACATCACTGGTCATTCGAGAGATGCAGATGAAAACAACACTGAGATTCCACCTCACCCCACAAAGAATGGCTCCTATCAAGAAATCAAGCAATAACAAATGCTGGCGGGATTGTCGGGGGAAAGGAACCCTTCTCCATTGTTGGTGGGAGTGCAGGCTGGTCCAACTACTATGGAAATCAATATGGAGATACCTCAAAGAGCTGGGACTAGAGGTTCCATTTGATCCAGTCATCCCTCTGCTGGGTATCTTTCCAAAAGAATTAAAAGAATCATACCAAGTGATATATGCACACCCATGTTTATAGCATGTTTATAGCACCCATGTAATAGCTACAACTTGGAAACAGCCCATTTGCCCATCAGTTGGAAGCTGGATAAAGAAGATGTGGTTTTTCTATAAAATGTCCTGGAGAATGTTTTATGTACTGATGAGAAGAATGTGTACTCCTCACCTGTTGGAGGAAATGTTCTATAAATGTCTATTAGGTCCGTTTGGTCTGTTTAACTCCAATATTGCTTTGTTGACTTTGTTTTTAATTTTTTTGTAGCAGGAATTGAACTCAAGACCTTGCACTTGCCAGGCAGGCTTGGTGCCACTGAGCTATATCCCCTGCCCTTTGTTGACTTTCTGTTTGGATGATCTGTTCATTGATGATAGTGGGGTGTTGAGGTTCCCAGTATTTGTTGTATTGCAGATCATCTCTCCTTTAGACCTAATACTTGTCTTACATATTTGGCTTATCTGGGCTTGGGTACATACATATTTACAGTTGTTACATCTTCTTGCTGAATTGACCCGTCCATTGTTGTGTAATGACCTTCCTTTGTCTCTCTTTACAGTTTGTAATTTAAAGTCTGTTTTATCTTACATAAAGATAGCCATTTCTGCTTGGTCTTGATTTCTATTTGCATGGAATATCTTTTCCCATCTGTTCACTTTCAGTCTATGGGACTGCTGAAGTGAGTTCCGTATGGGCAGTGTGGTATTTTTTATTTGGGGGAATTTAACCTATTTAAATTCAAGATAATTATTAATAGGTAACAATCTACTCCAATAATTATGTGATTGTTTTGTATTATTTTTTCTCTCTTACTAATCTTTGTGATAAGATTTGAGTCTCTTCTCTTTCTTATTTGTGTTTCCACCAGTGAGTTTTATATTTTCATGACGGTAGTTACAGTCCTTTTTTTTCTAAGTATAGGACTCCTTTAAGCATTTCTTTTAGGGCTTGGTGATGATAAATCCCTTCAGTTTTTGTGTATCTGAGAAGGACTTTATTTCATGAAGGCTAATTTTGCTGTGTATAGTATTCTCAGCTCACAGTTTTTTTTCTTTCAGTGTATTGAATTTACCACTCATTTTCTCCTGGCCTCAAATGTTTTTTTGCTGATAAATCTGCTTTTAGTTAATGGGGATTTCCTTATAAATCACTTGATTTGGTCTTTATGCTTTTTTTTGGGAGGGGGGGATACTGAGGATCGAACTCAGGCCCTTGTGTGCAAGGCAGTTATAAATCACTTGATTTGGTCTTTATGCTTTTTTTTGGGAGGGGGGGATACTGAGGATCGAACTCAGGCCCTTGTGCTTGCAAGGCAGGCAGCAGAACCACTGAGCCAAATCCCTGGTCCTGTCTTTATGCTTTTAGAATTCTCTTTCTCTTTGAGTTTTGAAAGTTTAATTCTAATATGCCTTGGAGAGGACCTCTTTAGGTCTGATTAGAGTTCTTTGAGCTTCATAGACCTACATGTTCATGTCTTTTCTAAGACTTGAGAAAATTTCAGCCACTGTTTTCTTAAATATGCTCTCTGGGCTTTTCTCCGTCTCTTCACAATCTGGAAATCCCATATGTAAGCATTTGTTTGCTTAATAAAGTCCCATAAATCTCATGGGGGCTCTTCAGTCTTTTTTCATTCTTTTCCTCTGAATGGGTTAAAATACCTGTCTTCAAGAATTTTTTATTCTTCTGTAGTTGTAGCTATCAATTTTTTTTTTTTTTTGGTACCAGGGATTAAACTTTGGACCTTGTGGTTGCGAGGCAGGTGGCAGAACCACTAAGCTAAATTCCTGGCCCTCAACTGTATTTCTTTATTTCATTCTTTGAATTCCTCAGCTGCAAGATGTGTTTTTCTGTTTTATCTTGTTTTTGTTACCAGGATTCAAATTCAGTTTTAGTATATGTGCTGCCGAAGCGAGCACCCAGGGATCAAATTCAGGACCCTGCGTTTGTGAGGCAGGCGCAGCACCACTGAGCTATGTTCCCGGCTCAATATGTGTTTTTATAATGATGTCTGTCTCTGTTGAACTTCTCATCCGGATGAAGAGTTTTTTTCCTGATTTAGTTGAGCTGTCTGTATTCTATTGGTGTCTCATTGAGCTTCCTGAAGATCATTATTTTGATTTCCCCTTAAGGCATGTCATACATTTCTTTTCCTTTAGGGTGGGCTACTGGAGAATTACTGTGTTCCTCTAGGATGGTGGTGGTGAACCTATTGCACATGTGCTGTTTTTATTTTAAAACAAAAGACGTTAATGTATGAGTGTTTCTTTCCTAAACCAAAACCTCAGTGTTCAGATTTAGTCACAGTGTTGGCACTTTGCGATAAATAAGTGGGTCATGGGTCGCTCGTCTCTAAAAGGTTTGTGAGTTTGGGCACTCATCTCGAAAAGGTTCGTCATCACTACTCTAGTGGTATAATGTTTTCCTATTTATGTTTCTTGTTCTTCTGTTCCGACATGTACTGTATAGTTGCCTTTTTCAGTCATATGGAGTCGATTCCTTTTTATTTTCTTCTCTGTAAGGAGAGGCTTCTTTCTGTGGATGGGCATAAGGGTGTCAGCTGAGTATGGTGTGTTACTCTTGGTTCTGGGTGGAGGCAGGAGTGTGGTCCCTGTGGTGGTTCTGCTGTAACTCTTACTGTAAGATCTGTGGTTGTGTCAGTGGCCTAGCATGTGGTGGGTGTGACTTTGATGGTGAGGTGCAGTTTTGCTGGAGACAGAGGTGCTGCCTGGCTGGTTTCAGGCCAGAGGTTATGTGGTGAGCTCTCCATGGGCAGGGCTGCCACCTGGCTGGCTTTTGGTCTAGGCTTGGCATGTGAGTTTGCTGTATGCTGTCTGTGCAGCAGGTATATTGGGGATGGGCCAGGTGCAGGTGCAGTGGGTGTTACAAGCTGGCTGGCTGTGTGGCAGTCTCGCTGAGGGTGAAGATTACGACCAGGCCAATGGGTCATGCTGGGCTGTGCAGGGCTGGGTGACTGACATAGGCTTTCTCCTGGGGTGAGGCTACTGACTGGCTATCAGGTATGTTGGGACCTTGCAGGTGTGTTAGCTTCCTTCTGGTGGAAATCTTCCTGGTCTCTGTGGGGTGGGGTTCTGCACGGTTTGGAAGGCAACTATGGTCTGAGCAACATAGATCGTGGGCTGCAGCCACCTAAATGAGCATGATGGTTGCAAGTGGCCTCAGGAGTGAGGGTACAACATGAGGGCTAGGCCCAGGGTGGGATGTGTCCAGCAGTGGGCCCAGTTCCAAGCTGGTGTGTAGCTGTCACAGCTTACAGGTGGGAGGTGTGCAGTGTGGTCTGTACTGTGGCATCATAGCCATTTGAACTCTCAGAGCCTTTCCAAACTGTTCCTGGCCTGTGTTGGCTGCAGAAGTCTCCTTGGCAGTCGTCTGCAGTAGCAGAGGGACTGTTGGAGGTCTCTAGCTTACTTTTCCTGTAAAGAGACATCCATCTTGGCTTCACGCTGGTCCGAGGGAGAGAGCGTGGGTGCTGCTGGATCCCTCTCTCTTCTCATGGTATTTCTGTGGTGTTTTGGGCTCTTTGGGGATCTTACTGCGCCCCTGCTATTCTCTGGTGTGTGTCCTCAGTCACTCTAATGGAACGTAGTTGTATATTCTTTGCTGCGGTCCGTTTCTGTGGTGGCTGTGGGGGAGCCGTTGCTATCTTGGTAATGCCGTACCACAATGGTTTTTCTGAGTCCTTTGAGCCCTCTGTTCCACCTTTCCAGCTCCCATTATTTCTCTCCTGAGATAGGCAAGGAAGGGTAGTATGTGGTGTAGGGTCAGGAATACCTAATCGCGCTCCATGTAGTCCTGTTGCACTCAGTGCCAACTGTCATGGGGCAGTTTGAAGAGCACTTGGGGTTGTTTGGGAATATGGTTCAGGCTTGGACTCAGAGGACAGGTTCATTGCTAGACCAGAGGCCAGGTGTTTGCTCAGAGATGATACCTTTGAATAGAGGAGTGATCGTACAGGTCAAAATAATGAGCAGAGTCCTGGTGAGGCCTTTGAGGTTCAGTTCCTGCCTCACCTTGCCTGGCAAGCCCCAGCCCCATGCTTTAGGTGGTTGGATAATGGGGGACACAGGCGTGAATGTGTGCTGCTCCTGGGAGAAAGGACATCGGTGGTGGGAGGAATGTGTTGTTTTCAGACTCAATGTGGAAACCCTTACCTCCCTTCTTCTTGTTCCTATCAGGATCCTTGCCACGGCTGGAACTGACTTTGACCTGCGAACACTGAGGGCTGTGCGTGTGCTAAGGCCCCTGAAGCTGGTGTCTGGGATTCCAAGTGAGTCCAGATAAGATAGTCAGGCCCGAGCCTAACCTGGACCACCAGCCTCCTCCTTTCCGTTTGCCACAGTGATGACCATAGTTAAGCCCCTTCAGCTTGCCTTCTTTGGGTGGTGGTGGTGGGGTGCTGGGGATTCAATCTAGAACTTTGTTCATGCTGAGTACACTCCACCACTGAGCTACACCTTGTCCCCCGAGCTTGCTGCTTTTGACTTCAGGGAACCAGGTAAGAAGGGAGGGAGGAACAGGCCTCTCCAGTCCATTCCCCATGGAGTCCCACAGGTCTATCCTGTTACTTTGCCATGGCTTGGCTTCCCTAGATGGAAGCTTTGTTGGTCCTCACAAGCCATGCTGTTTCCAGCTCATTACTTCATTTTCTTTTCTCTCTCTCTCTCTCTCTCTCTCTCTCTCTCTCTCTCTCTCTCTCTGTCTCTCTTTTTTGTGAGACAGTGTCTCACGATGTAGTTGAGACTGACCTGGAACACACTATGTAACCCAGGTTGGTCTTGAACTCACAGGGATCCTCCTGCCTCAGCCTCTCTAGTGCTGGGATTACAGGCGTGTGCCACTATGCCCAGCATCATTGCTTCATTCTCTAGGGAAAAGAACAGATGAGAGATTGATCAAGGTGATGGGGCAGGATTCCTGGGAAAATATGCAAAGGCTGCAAAGGGCCACTTGTCCTGGCTCAAGCTTGGCAGGGCAGTGAGGGGCTGAGATTGGACATAAGATGTGCTCCTGATTTAGGCCACAGAGAAGAGTATGGGATAGAGGGTGGCCAGGGGACTCTTACGAGCCAGTGACCACCGTGGCCATGGTTCCTCCAGTCCAGTGGAAGTGTGGCTTTTGGTTTACCTGAAGACCTGGGTGGACAGGGACCTAGTGTGGTGGCCTCCGGAGACCATTGCATTGGTTGGCTCCTTATTTTACCCCGAACAGGCAAGAGCTCTGACCTGTATCCAGGATTATGGGATCATGACCTTGTTTGCCTAGTCCCTGTAGCCTGAACTCAGTCATGTCCTATGGCCAGTGAAAAAATACTCTCTGGTTTTGGAAGAACAGTCCTGCCTTCCCCAAGGAGTTGGGTCTGTTCGGAACTGTTTTACTTACTTCTCAGGACCCCCTGCTTTTCCCTCTCGGGATCCCCTGCTCTTAGATCCCAACATTCCCTGCTCTCCCCTCAGGATCTCCCATACTGCACTTCGTTCCCAGCACCCCTGCTTTGGCTGACAGCATTCTCTGCTTTCCTCTGCCACGATCCTCGACTCTTCGCTCCCAGAATTCTCTGGTCTTCCAGGATTCCTGTCCTGTCCTCTCAGGATTCTCTCATTCTTTCTCTCAGGGTTCTGCTCTTCCTTCTCTGTATTTTATTCTTTTTCTTCTCAGAATTTCTGCCCTTGCTCTACCCTGAGTCTTCTAAAGCTGTGATCTCATTAGCTCACACTCCACCTGCATCTCCCCCTCCTTTGCGATGCTCCTTAGTCCACCTCTCCCTAGGACCTCATTCTTTGTCCCTGAGGACTGTCAACTCTGCTCTACCCGAGTATGCACTCTTCTGGCCTTCCTCCAGCATTCCCTGCCCTGTGTCGTACTTTGAGTGCTGTCAGCTCTGTCCTTGCTCCCCATAAACACTTCGTATTCAGCCTCTTGCCCCAGGACTCTCAGCCCTTCCTCACCCTAGGTTCTTGTAGCTTTGCCTGTGCCCTGCCCTGCTCCCTGCTTGCCCACTTTGCTATCTGACCTGCCCTGCTCTGCCTGCTCTGGTCCCAGGTTTGCAGGTGGTGCTCAAGTCCATCATGAAGGCCATGGTTCCGCTGCTGCAGATCGGGCTGCTTCTCTTCTTCGCCATCCTCATGTTTGCCATCATTGGCCTCGAGTTCTACATGGGGAAATTCCACAAGGCCTGTTTCCCCAACAGCACAGGTGAGGTCCAGTAGCACCTTTGGGTTTGGACAAGGACCACAGATTCATTTGTCCAGGAGATATTCTAGGTGCTCGGGGTACCTTCTAGGTTCCAGACAAGTAAGGTAGAGCTTATATTCCAGGGGAGCACAAAGACAGCAATCTGATAAACACGAGTAATAGACATATAAGTGAAATAATACAGATTGTAGTGACTTCTGGGATGGAAACAAATATATTTGAAATAGAATAATTTGGGTCTTGCTGTACAGAGGGTGTCCAGGGGACCTCTTTGCTAAGGTGACAGTTGAACAGAACTCTGAACAGTAGTGATAGCAGGAGCTATGTGCTCGCCTGGCCAGAGATCTTAGATACAAGGATCAGGAAGTACAAAAGCCCTAGATGAGAAATAGTGAAAACAGAAATCATGGGGTTTTGTGGTCATGGTTAGAGCACGAGCGTTATTCTGGGGGAAGTAAGAAGACAGTGGAAGACTTTGGCCAAGGTATTGGCATCTTTTGGTCTCTGACTGCTGTGAGGAGACACAGGTGGAAATGATTTTGGAGGAGATTACCTCATTCCAGGAGAGATGTCGGCCTGGGCTGGTATTTGGTAGAGGTAGTTTGAACAAAGTCACAGGATTTTCAGAGCATGTGAAGGATAAGAGAGAAAGGAGAGTTAAGATTTGTGCTTGATCTGTAAGCGTGTTAAAGGAGAAAATTCGATGACCATCTTCGATATTGAAAAGCTTTTCCTAAAATTTGTTACTCGTGATTAAGAAAATTCATTATCAAACTGAAAATAACAGATAATTTTGTTGAATTCCTTAACATTTTCTGCAAACATAAACTTCATTGTAAGTTGAGAGATTTTCGTTTAAAGTTAGGAGCAAGACAGGATGCAGGTGGTTATTGCTGGCCTATGCAGCTTTGGTAGTTTTGACCAGTGACCAGGAAATGAGAAAGAAGAGAAATTTAGTTAAGGAGGAAACAAGTTAGTTGGGCGGGTGATGCACACCTGTAATCCTAGCGCTCTGGGAGGCTGAGGCAGGAGGATCACAATTTTGCAAGACCCTACCTGAAAACCAAAACAATGAAGAAAGGGCTGGTGATGTATCTTAGTTCAGAGGCCTGCCCGGCGCTCAGTCTTCAGTGTTGGAAAAAAGACAACAATAAAACTTGTGATTGTTCATAGAGAATACAGTCTACAAATAGATAAGCAATGGCTCCTTTATAAGTGTTTATCAAAATATTTGGAGAGAGAAATGTATTTATGTGGTCCGTTTTGCTTTCTAACCCTGGAAGTATTTGCTTTGTATCCTAGCAGTTACTCAAATTTTTTCTGTGTTGGGCTGGGGATTTAGCTCAGTGGCACTGTACCTGCCTTGCAAGCACAAGATCCTGAGTTCAATCCCTGGTTACCACAAAAAAAAAAAAAGAAAAAAAATTGTTCTGTATTGATAAAAGGGATCTTAATGTGTTGTTATACATTTTTGAAAAAAATCTGCTTTTTCACTGGGAGTTTGTAAGTGAAGAGGACTTGTGGTCTGCTTGCTATCTTGGCTCAGATCTAGCTGCGATGTTCTGGTGTTCCTCACCCTTGTCAGCTGGTCCCCTGGTGCCTGTCAGGACGGAGTTGGTAGAGGGCCCCCCTGTAGGGCCGTGCAGGGATTTCTGGCTGGAGGTCCCAGCCCCTGACTCAGCTGCTCTGCAGGGCTGGAGCCCAGCTTGGTGTCAGCCATGGCCTTGCTGCCCGCAATGACAGATCTGTGTCAGGAGGCTCTGGTGGCTGGTTGTGTAGGCGAGGAGAAATCAGGGTGTTTGGTTTGTCCGGTTCCAACACTAAGGGAGAGACGGACCCGGGTGTCTGAGAAGGGAGGTCTGAGCTGAGAAGGCGGACTGCAGGCTGGAGAGACCTGGTACAGGTGCAGGAAGAACAGGGAGTTGCTGGCTGTGCCCACCTGCAGTGAGCTCTCCAGAGCCCTGGAGTCTGGGTTGGGCTGGAGAGTGTGGTGATCTTCATTCTCCTCTTCACAGACGCGGACCCTGTAGGTGATTTCCCCTGTGGCAAGGACGCCCCAGCCCGGCTTTGTGAGGGTGACACCGAGTGCCGGGAGTACTGGCCAGGACCCAACTTTGGCATCACCAACTTTGACAACATCCTGTTTGCCATCTTGACTGTGTTCCAGTGCATCACCATGGAGGGCTGGACCGACATCCTGTACAACGTGAGTTGCCTGGGGTTGGGCTCTGCCACGACATCCTTCATGATGTGAGTCACATCTCGGGTGGGCTCTGGAGCCCCTAAGCTATGCTCTAGGGTCCCATTTGGGGGCACTTTCAACTAAGAGCCTCCGCTTGGCCCTCAGCCCCTGAACCTCCTTACTATGTATGAGTGTAGGGTCCTTGTCCATGAGCTTTGCCAAAGGATTCCATGGTCAGTTTGTGCGCTAACTGTAGACCGAGGTCCTTCTGGGGGCTCTGACTGAGGGCTGTGTGGAAGTCAGCTGAGAAAGTTTCGAAGAAGGCGCTGCTGGTATTGATGGTGGCAGTGGCAGCAGCACCACAGCTATGCTCTCTGTGGGCCTGCTTTGTGAAGAAGGCCTGTCATGTTGCGTCCCGGGGACTCACCGTGAGGACGGAGCTCCTGGGTCACAGAGAGGCCAGTGGATTCGCCCTCACATGCAGGCGGTTCACTGAGAACCACAGACCACACCAGTCCTGCTGGGGTCTTTGGGCGGAGTCAGGACCAGGGATATGTGGGGCTCTGGGCCAAGGCTGAGGTGAAGGTGCGGGGAGCAGCACAGGGCCCTAGGGCTGCACAGAGCTGCGGTCCAGGAGAACCCTGCTCACGCTGAATTTCTGGGTGGGAGCACGTGTCTTGCGTGTTTGTTTCCTTCTCATCTGGTCTGTATGGTACAAGTTCCTCTTTGATCTCTGCCCTCTCACGACTGTGCCAGCCTGGGTATGGTGGCCGTGGTGGAAGTCCAGGGTCAGGCCTAAGGGAGCCTGTCTCATTGTCACTTTCCCTCTACCTGGTCTTTTTGGTGGACGCTGCCACTGACTCTTCAGCAAATCAGGGCCTTTTTTATGTGAAGACCTCCCCTGCTGCTGCAGGAGAGGCTTCTGAGCCATCTGGGTGTGAGAACAAGGAAGTTGGTGCCTCGGGTTTTGGGAAGTGGAGAAGGAAGTAGTCTGGCTTGTGGACTCTTTTGGGTAGCTGGAGGTTGTGTTCTGCTTGGGGTGCTCAGGCCAAAGGGCAGTGCTGGTGTACCAGGTGCTGTGTCTTCTAGAGCGAGCTTCTTGTACATTGAGGGTTCCCCTTGCACCACACGCTTCTGGATCCCTGTGCATCCTCATGGCCTCTTGCGGTTGTGCCTGTGACAGCTAAGGCACAGGAGGAAGGCGTGAGGCTGGGCCCTTTGCCTTGTACCTCCATGTGGGTTTATGGGGCCCTAGGCTGCTGTGCAGCTGGTGCTCAGCAGTTACTTGGTAAATGCTTGGGGGCTGAACTTTGAAGCCTGTTGAACAGGTAAAGGAGGAGTTAAGGAAAAGCACCCCAGAGCCTGTGGAGTCAGGTTCCTTCCCTGATGAGAGTTGTGTCTGATGACAGGCTCATGTGATTAAGGGAACAAGGAGCAGGGACAAAGGCAGAGATGAAGAGCTTGGCTGTTCTCTCTCTATAACTGATCCAGGAGCAGTTTCCACAAAGACAGCCCCTAAAAATAGCTCTGCGCGGGCCATGTTCCTGCCAGCCCCGCCCAAAGGAAAGGCTGTGTGACCAGGTCTCCGCTGCCCTCAGTACCTGCTGGGGGCTTAGCCGGCAGCCATGGTGACTCAGATGCCCCTGTCTTTTTCTGGGACCTGTAGGAGGAGATGGGCAGGAAACAGATCCTGGGCTGGAGGCGCTGGCCAGGAAAGGGCGTAGATTTCAGTAGGAGCCAAGGGCTCTGGGCACGGCTTGCACAGGGATGAGAGGAAGCATGCAGCACACAGGACCCAGACGATGGCAGGTGCCTGGAGGGGGCAAGGGAGGAGGCAGAAATGTGGGTGACCAGTTAGAGGGCTCTGGGAAACAGGGCCTGTGAGGTCTGGAAACCGGACACTTAGATGCAATAGGGCTGTGCCTTGAAAGTTTGGCGGGAGGCCCCGGAGGCGGTGGGGACAGGCCTGGCACCATGCAACACCAGAGTGGGTGGCAGGGGCAGGCCAGCTCCACTTTGCCTCTCAGAGGGCCTGCAGTTCAGTGTTGGAGATTGGACAGGAACTTGGAGAAGACTCTCTGGAGAAGGGCTTTGTGGTCCCCTCAGCCAGATGATCCTCCAAGCACTGGTGCCTGGCTCCCCATGGGCAGATGCTGCCAGCCTGCAGCAGGGGTGGAAGGAGAGATTGAGCAGGGGCCCTGCTGTTGTCAGGCGACACAAGGTGGACAGGATGGATCCCGGAACCTCTGCTGCAAAGTGGGCAGTGAGTGGGGAAGAGAAGCCACTCTCCTGAGCTTTGAAAGCTGTGCCATCAGGTGGGATTGCAGAGCTTGCAGAAGAGCCTTGTGAGATATGAGTCAGCAGACGTTTCCACAGGCCAGAGACATGAGACTATCTCAGACCAGTGCTATTCAAGAAAGACCTGGCCGCAGGGCCAGGATTTAGCTCAGCAGCATGGCACCTGCCTCACAAGTGCAAGGTCCTGAGTTTGATTTCCTGTCACCCCCCACCCCCAATAAATAAAGAAAGAACTGGCTGTTCCTTCCTCTGCTACCCCTGCTTTGCCGCTGTGAGGATCAGCATCCCCAGGGCAGGAACAGTGCTGGGCCTGGGGCACAGTGACGCCTTGGCTTCCTCTCCCATTGAAAGTGTCAGCTGTGGTGGCCAGTTTGGGGAGCAGCTATCCACGTGTAGCATGTGACAGTTTGATTGCCAGCTGGGACTGCACATTTTGATTCCTGAATCAAGACTGTTCTTGTAGGACTTTCTGTTATCTGAGTTTCTAGAAAGGCTGTTTGACTTGTTTTTTTTGGTACCAGAGATTGAGGGTTTGAGAAGGATTGCTCCTCTGCTGTGTCCGAAGGGGCAAGGAGAGACGGATGTTGATTGATGATTGAGATCCCTTCAGCTCTGAGGAGAGGAGTATTAGGATGCAGAGGTACAGTGGTTCTATTTTGAGGCTAACACAAATGACCTGCTCTAGACTGGATGAGCAGTGTGAGAGAAACAAGAGTCAAGGATGACTTGAGCTCCTGGGGAAGGAGGTGCCACTAACAACAGAGGCAAACTTGGGAGCAAAGCACTCTTCCAGTTTCATTCTAGTGTGTGGTGGGGGTGAAACTCCAGGATTCTGTTTTAGCTTTGCAAAATTATCGGTCACTATTTCCATCCAGGTGGAGGTGTTGGGTCTGTAAGAGGGAGCTCAGAAGGAACAGCAGGGCCGAGGATGTGTGTGTGAAGTCCTTGACACGTGGACAGTGCTTAAAGTGACGGGACGTGGTGAGATCGCCCGCTTGGTGAATACAGGGGAGAATCACAACATCTGGAAGCCAGGAGGAAAGCAGCCAGCAGAGGGAGCTGTGGGAGGGCTCTGAAGCGGGGGCAGTGACATTAGGGACGTCCATTGTCCTGGAAGCAGAGCAGGGTTTTAAGGCGGAGATCCCCTGGGTCCATTGTTGCTGAGAGGTCAAGGAAGATGGGAAGAGAAGCCTTGAGTTGCAGGAGGAGGTTGGTGGACTTGAGGGGAGCAGTCTGAGTTGGGGAGATAACAAATCCTGGTAAAGTGTGGGACACAGCCAGGGAGGCTTCGAGTATAGCCCACCCTTTCAAGTGAGTTGAGCAGCTGGGGATTGGAGTTGGCAATCCTGGGAGATCAGGGTGAAGGGAACTGGATTCTTTCTTTTTTTCGTACCGGGGATTGAACTCAGGTACTTGCAAGGCAGGCCACTGAACCGCTGAGCTAAATCCCTGGCCTGGATTCTTAAATTAAATTAAAAAACAATTTCTTTTGGAGACACGGTCTCACTGTATGTCCCAGGCTGATCTTGATCTCCTGGCAGTCCTCCTGCCCCAGATTCCCAAGTGCTGGGATGACATTCGTGCACCGCTGTATCTGGCTTTAAATTTTAAACTTTGAGGGAATTGTAGATTCATGTGGAGTTGTGAACGTAACGCAGAAGGATCCCACGTTCCCCCTCTTTCCCAGTGCTTACAACGTGCAGAGCCCCAGCCACCGGTACGGCTAGGGCGTCGGTGTTCATACAGTCGCACAGTGTCCCCTTGCCGTGGTGTTTCATATCCACCTGTCGGTCTGGCCTCCTCCTTGATCTCTCAAGACCACGAGTCTGTTCGCCATGTGTGTAATTTTTTTTTTTTGTACTAGGGATTGAACTCAGGACCTTGTGCTAGCCAGGCGGGCGCTGTGCTGCTGAGCTAAATCCCCAGCCATCCTGTGTGTAATCTTGTCATTCCAAGTAGATCACGTAGGTGAAAACACACCTAATGTAATTTTTTGGTGTTGCAGTTTTTGCTCAGGCACTATTCTCAGGAGATTAGCCCAGGTTCTCGTGCGTCTGTGTCATCCCCGTGTTCTGTACTGTGGGTGGATCGCAGTTCATTTATCACTGTTGAAGGGCCCCTAGGTTGTTTCTAGTTTTGGGTTATTATGGATACCTTTTCTTTGTGTGGTGTTGGGGATTGAACGTAGGACCTCTCAGTTATATCCCCAGCCTTTGTTTGGGTCTCCATAGTTCACTGTGTGGCCCAGGCTGGGCTCAAACTTGGAATCCTTCTGCCTCAGCCTGCCAGAGTGCTGGAATTATAGGTGTGTGCACAGGTTTTCATTTCTCTGGGATAAATACCCAAGAATGCAAGCTCTGGGTTACTAGTACTTGCGTGTGTAGTTCAGAAACTGCACCTCACCTGAGGGCCACGGGGCCTGCACCCTGCCCGGCTGGGGTGTCTCCATGCCTGCATGTGTCCTTCTACCACTCTGGTGGGCGTGGGCTGCTGACACCATTGCCCTTTCTTCCGATTCCAATCTGAGGGGCCAACCATCTGTTGCTGCTCATTGGCTGTCCATCTCTGTGCTCTGTCCTGTGGAGACTGTCCTTTTACTTCAGAGTTTCTAGAGCTCCTTAGGGATTTAGTTGCGGTTTCTTGTCAGATAAGTGGTTTGCAGATGTTTTCTCCTTGATAATACCTTGTCTTTTCATGCTGTTCACCTTCTCTTGCACAGAAGAAAC